TTATTTTGTGTGTCTTGTCCCTTTCTGTTGGAAAGGATGGCTGGCTGTCCTTATTGTCCTTAATGGGCTGATGAACAGTAAAGAGTGTGAAGTAGCTTGACAGAAAATACCCATCTATGCAGTTGCTAGAACTGATCACCTTGTCTGGAAGCAGTTTCCATACCCTCATTTAGCCTTAAACATATTTGACTCTGTTGTTTTGTTGTTGAAGTCTCCCTCTTAGAGCTGGGAAAAATAAAGGCATGAAGGAAGACCTAAATAGCAAAGAACAAGACCTTGCTATTACAGGATGGTTGATGCTTAATCACAGCTTCAGTTGTTAAAAATCCTGCTGAGATTGCCTGATTTATGGAGAGGTGATTATAAAAACCAACAGGTTGCTTAATTAGGATGGAGAGTTATGAGAAGTGGTTTGGCTTTTCTGCAAAGCACCGGAGCAAATGACTTGGCAAGTGGTGCTGGGGTGGGGAAAGCCTTGAAGGAAGCGCTGGTTGCTCAGTTTGCTGCTTGTGCATTTAGGAGGATTAAAGCTGGTGGTTGCTGAAATCAGGCCTGAAACTGGTTCATCTGAGGCCTTCCTGGCCTGAGACTAAACTTGGCATTGAATCATATTTACTACGCAAGAATTTTAGTACACTTTGTTATGTTCTGAGGCTTCTCAGCTTGTTTCAATGGTGGTTGCCATGCTTTGAAAGAGCAACCTCGGCTCTTCCCAGCCACATGTTAGAGTTTGTTCCCAGCAAGAAATACCATATATTATATTATACCATGAACTCCACCAGCTTTCCTGTTATAATGGAGGATACACAACCAACCAACACTTTCACGTGCCTTTTCAATGAGGAGCAATTATTTGTGGATCTGACCAAACGTATATTGAACAACCACTCATGTTTCAAGCTGCCCCTGCCTGCTGCCAAATCCTATCTGGAAAAGAAATGGGTAAGAAGGAGCCAAACATTATTCCCAAAACAGGCCGACTTCTACTAGGCGGTGACCCTGGAATGGTTTTATCAAATCTGGGCCCTTCATGATGCTGGAAGCAGAGTTTTCCCCGGAGAGAACCAGTGCCAGAGTGAAAAACGAGGAGACAAGGCACAGACAGGAACAAAATGAGGCAAGGGAATTTTAACCGGTTAAATAATAGAATATAGGAATATTACAGATGTCAAAGCTTGATCAAGCAGTCCTCAGATAGGAAAAACAATGAGCTTAACTGCCTCTAATACTGCAAAATCATCAAAATAATCAAGAACAAGCAAGTGGGTCATTCTGTCTCAGCCACGTGCATACTGCAGAATCACTTGGCTCTTCTCTGTACTATTTCATCCCCATTTAACCTGCTGAGGCTAGTTGTCATTTTGCAAATGTGCAAAATACATTAAATTTTAACTATGTAATTTAAAAATACATGTATTTGTGCAGATCTTTCAAAGTGACTAGGCTCTGAATGTATAGGGCAACAGAACATGACTCAAAGCCCAATTTAAAGTAAGAAGCAAGTGTTTTGAGCAGGCATCAACATTTAGACTGAAAAGCAAGGCAAAAGCATAGGGTTTTTTTATAGATGTTGAGTGGACTAAATGCAATGTGAATTTATCTACAAACCATCTGTGATTTCTGGTATTTTTTTGATGCCTTCACAGCTCTAATTTTAAGCAGTTATGTAGCCTTTAAATAATGATATTTTCTTCCTATTCGGATTTACATCAGACTCCACGCTAGATCTCTGAGTGTTTAAAGAAAAGAAGTGCAGCTGAGTACAGAGAAGCAGCTGAGTACATTTCTCTGCAGAGAGCACACATACAGAAGAAAACAGCAGCTTTTTCTTTTTGCAAGTAAAATTTGACATATTTTGGGACGGAATACTGCATGCATAAAATAACACCACGAGTTTTGCTGGGTACAGTTTACTTTCTGTATTTTGCTTTACACTTTTCATGTAAATTCAGTGCTGGCATAAGGTGTTAAGCTGACTTCCCCAGAGGCTGGAGCTCCAGAAGCAGCAAAGCAGAACGGCAGATCTCTTTGAAATGTCTCAAAACTGACATCAAGGGTGCCAGCTCCGTGAGACAAGAGGGAATTGGAGAGTCATAACCTATCCAGGCCTTAGTGCTTCTGCAGACAAATCTGTTACATGCTGGGGATTTTTTTTGTGTGTACGATGTGGATGCTCCATAACTATATTAACAGAAAAGCAAACAGAAACCCCTCTATACAAGCAACTGAATAGCCATCTGAAAATTGCATTTCTTGCAGTAAGTGACCACTAAACAGGCTGGAAGACACTCAGACTTTTTTTTTCTGTGCACTTTGCTTGGGGGAAGACCATTTTTAATGGAAGTCAATTCTCCTGAGAGCCTAAAACAATACTAAGCCAATGCCATTCATCCTGCAGGAAATCTGATAACTATATCAGGTAACTATATTGTAGTCAGTTCTTTTTTTTTCACTCTTTCTAGCAGAAAGGTTCTGATAAGATCCTTGCCCACTGTCGTTGGCCATAGCGGGACATTATGATTTGGGCAATAATGTGAAGAGAAAGCCTCGAAAATCCAGGCTCCCCCCATCTGGAAACACATTGTCATTCCAGCTCTGTCTGAAAGGAGGCAGGATCCATTCCCTTCCCACCGGGAGGATCTTTTTCTTTCCTTCAATAATGCATTGTGGAGGAAACTCTGTGGTGAGCTGACTGAAAACTTGAAAAAATATTCAGAATATAAAACCAGCAAGAATATTTTACCAAATTACGTTATTCAACCTTGCAATAATTTGAACTGAAGCAAAAATTGGTTTATTGTATTTATCTGAACTGCTGTCAAGAATGCAGCAACGATGAAGATCCACAGTGGCCCTGCTGATGAATATCTGTCCATCTTATCACAGAATAAATACCAACATTTATCTGTTGTAGGAGAAGATAACAATTGTTTCTGAGGATGTCAGTTATTCCAAACAATGGGCCCTCTCATTCCTTGAGACATTCTGCGCATCTGGTAGGAGACCCAATAGTCGATATTAATTGCCTCTCCTGATGACAAAATTAATTTATTTTTAATGAGAAAGCATTTCTAGTTGGACGCTATCTTCCCCAACAAATTCCTGTTTACGGTGCCTCTGGAAAGATTCTGAAAGCAATCCCTTCCCTTTGGTGTCACTGATTAATTACAGCCTGCTCCGTTCTTAATAGCTGCAGCCTGAGTGATAGCGTAGAACAAGCCCTGCTGTGAAAGGTTCATCTTAGATCCGTGCTCCCCAGATAAGCTTCTGCTGTACCTCCCCATCAGGCTGCATGCGCTGCCGATTTGGATTTGGATTTAGAGTTCCGAGCTATGAACGTTATGAGACTGACAGCAACAAAAATGAAATTCTCTCTTTAGCCGCAGAATGGATCTGGAGCTGGCGGTTCACTGCAGCCTTCTCCATTCTCTTACCCATCTACGTGGTGCAATGCTGGTGTGTGGGGCTAACTGGGCTTGTGTGGGGCTAACTGGGCTAGCTGGAGCCCAACCGCGTTAGCAGAGCAGACTGCCAGCTCTAATTAGCAGTGCTGGGAGGCAGGGTGTATTTGTGTGGTCAGGCAGGGTGTATTAGTGCGATGCTGGACCAACAGAGCAGGCTGGTTCCAGGGCTGCAGCTGCTGTTTGCGTAGCTCCCCATGACACTGCATTGCACAGCGTGGATATAACGCATATGCTCTAAAAGCATGTCTTAAAAGTATGCTTGTTTTCTTCTTTTGTCCTTTTAGAGGGACATTGCTAGGTCCTTCAGCTTTGGGTGGAAATGATCAGAGATGTCAGTTCTGATGCTTGTTGAGATGTGGGCACAAGTCCACGTTGGGCCACCCAAATGGTTTTGCAAGAGCCTGCTCAACAGCTGCCAGATGCTAAGAATTTGGGATGTTAGAAACATCAGTCAGACTCTTGCTTTTATGTTCTACTAGTGATTTTACCAGGCAAAAAGCTTTTTTGTTTTGTTTTTAATCAGTCCCTCGGAGACGCTACCTTAAATCCCTAACGCCAGTTTGTGGTATACTCGTAGCAGCTAAGGAGGATGAAATTAGGACACAGCTTTGTTTTTTGGGTAAGATGCCACTTAAGGAATGTTGCTTTCAGCTACTGAGGCTAGGAAACATCCTGCAAATGAGCATACCGGAGTACTCGGTCTTTTCCTCCTGTATGTGAGAGGAGGAGAAGAGGAACCGGAGCTCCTGCTCTCCACTTCAACCGTTATCTTTAGCTGTTGGAGCAGCTCTTCATTCCTATCCTTAACTATTTCTCATTCTTTATCCCAGGCAACAGGGCTTCGCTCACTAACACCCTTGCATGTTCCCTGAGAGGTTTTAATTGATCAGCAGCAGCTCCCGGGACCTGTGCAGGACACAGGAGACTTGGGAGCAGCTCCTGTTAGGCCCTTCCCATGTGGCAGGTACGGCTTGCACGAGCTGTACTCACTGAATTTAATTAATACCGTTATGAAAGAGGCTGTTATTTATTTTGGAAGCTAAGAAAACAGGAAATTAGGCCATTTCTACAAATTTTTTCAGGTGCAGTGGCAATGGCCCAGGGTAGTGCTCTGTTTATTTTAGCTGTGCTCTAAGAGAGGAGAAAAGAGCTCGTAGCTGCATCTAAGCGCACAAGACGCCTCTCTAAAAATGCACTAATAAGTGCTGCATGTGCCAACAATTCTGAGCTTTGCTCATGTTGGCAACTGAGGCCGGATCGTTGTCCTGTTGCCTTAAGCTGTGAGCGCCATCGAGGCAAGGGCTGTAACACAGCGCTGATCTTAGAAAGCGAAGCGCGTGCAGTTGGCTTGGAGGAGGATTCTCCCCGCTCAAGGCAAGCGTGTCTCTATTTCCAACGGTTTCTCCTCCAGGCCTGTCCCTCCCGCCCTGTCCCCTCCCCGCTCCCGCCCAAACGGCGCGGACTACACTTCCCAGGGTGCCCCGCGCTGGCGGCGGCGCGGACTACACTTCCCAGGGCGCCCCGCGCGGCGGAGGCCGGGCCCGCGGGCTAAGATGGCGGAGGGGGTGCTGAGCGCCGGGGTGAACCTGGAGGCCTTCTCGCAGGCCATCGCCGCCATCCAAGCGCTGCGCTCCAGCGTCACGCGCGTCTTCGACTGCCTCAAGGATGGCATGCGGAACAAGGAGACGCTGGAGGGCCGCGAGAAGGGCTTCGTGGCCGCCTTCCAGGAGAGCCTGCACTCCGTGAGCCGCGACCTGGGGTGAGCGCGGGGGCTCCGCGGCCGCCCCTTTCCCCTTCCTCCTCCTTTTCCAGCTTCTCCTCCTCGTCCTGGAGCCCAGGCCGGTTCAGGGAGCCGGTCTGGGGTAAGGGAGGGACCCCGGGGCCTCCCCTGCGTAGTGGGGCCTCGACGGTTCCGCTCCCCCGGCTCCTGGGGAAAGTTTGGGGGGAAAGGAGGGGAAAAAGCGTCGCTTGGGGGGCTGTCGGGTGGCCCCCGTGTCACCCCCGTGTTTCCCGTCTGCGATCTCCAAAGAGATGGAAGCTGCCGATATTATTATTTATTATTATTAACTATTATTAATAAGGAGCTCTTGGTGGCTTTTATTTAACTGGGGAAATGCCTTTGGTTTTAGGGGGTTGTTCCAGTCTTTTTTTTTTTATTTTTTTTTTATTTCCCCAAAATTTTCATTACAAAAGCTTACAAATAATCACTTTACTACTAGACATCGCTCAGTAACACCTGAGTGGATCAAGGATGACCTTATTATCACCCAAGCTTGCTGGCTGCCGAGTTAGTGCCCTCGGGTGTAGCTGTGCGTGCGGCCCTGTGTGAGCTGGTGTCCGGTGCGAAGCCACGGAGGGGCCGCCATGGACACGGAGGGACAGGCAGGCAGGGACAGCGGTCCCGCGGGATCGCCCCAATGTCCAGTGGGTTCCATTGGATCCCTAGGGAGAACCACCATTCTAGGACCAGGTGAGCGTGTGGTGATGCTTTCCCGGGATGCTCTCTGTATTCCATAGGAATAAGGAGATCAGGCGCTTAAGAACAAGCAATCATGTTGTTCGTGGTCATAGTCGTCGATTTTAATTTATTTTAATTCTTTGCGCTTGTCCAGTGGCTCTTCATGCAGCACAAACTCCCAGCATTCGTGGAGTCCCACACTAACGAGTTCTCCGGGTAGAAGTTGCCTTTCCTTGAGTTTCTTTGGTTGGTGATACCTGACAATAACATTGTTCCTTGATTTTTTTTCCCCCTCTTTAGGAAAGATGACAAACAATTGTTCTTATTAGTGGTGTTTACACAACTTTATAGATTTCCATTAAATCCCTTGGTGTTTATCCTTTCAAGCTGAAGGGGTTTTCTTGTTCCTGACATGATGCTGTGCCTTTCCTTTGGTCATGCTTCTTGCCTTTTCCTGTAGTTGTTCTTTCTGTAGCTGGTGAGAGGGATGCTGACCTGCACGTGGTGTTCAGCATGCAGGTGCACCAAACTTTAAAGGCCTAATCTATTTTTGCTTGGTTCTCTGCTTCTTTTCCAAGTAATCCTGCTGTTTTATTGTTCTTTTAATTGCATCTGAGCATAGAGCCAGATGCAATTAAGAGAGTTATCTATAGACCCCCAAATCTTGCTGCAGTAGGCTCTGACTTGAGAGCAATAGGCTCTGACTTGTCTTTTCTCATGTGCAGTGTTTTACACTTCTGTCCACTGCCCTTTATGCAGTGTTGCGGTGCTGTGAAGTTCTTTTTCAGCTCTTTGTGGCCAGGCCTTGTCCTTCCCACCTCAGGAGAAGCTTCATGATCAAACTTTGTTGTTTTTTCAGAACGCTAATCAAATGTATTTATCAGTACCTTGGTGACCATTTCTTTCTCGAATCTTTGCCAGATAATATAATTGTGATATTTTGATGTATCTTGTGTCTTTTTTCTTTTTTAAGCATAACTACTTAAAAATGTTATCACTTATATAGCATCCAAATATTGGATATTGTGTGATGTATTTGGAAAGTATTGAGTTGAAGCAGCAAGTGGAGGCAAAAAAAATACACTGAAGTTAAATATATCAGTGAGCTTAAGCTTTTGTCATAGAAATATGGACTGGGATCTCTGTCCAACAATTTAGTAATTAGCATGTTCCTTCCATTTATTGTGTACTTGTGTCAAGAAATATAAACTTCATTCATTAATGATCTAAGGCATCAGAGGCTTAGAATGAGGGTAGACCTCAGAAACGTGGAGGAACGGTTATGAATAAAAGTGGATTTTGTGGCAGGGAAATGTAGAAGCTTCTTCCTTACTCTCACTTCCCTGGTCCTTGGTATTTATTCCCATAAGCTTCATTAAATGTCAGCTGAGGTATTTGGGAGCTTTCTTTTCAGAGATTTTCATAAGTCATTCATGTAAGGGAGTGAATCCCACTTTTAATTTAGTGGAAGTTGTGAAGTTCAATCAGAGTAGGATTTGACATTCAGGAGTTAAAAGGAAACGTATCTGATTAGTCGTGTCACCTGAAAACCTGCATTTATATCTGTGTAAAGTGGCCGTTTCTCTTAAGCTGATTAATGCATGTTTTTTTAAATTGCTTAACTCTTGTTATTATTAAATGCAGCGTTTGACAAATGAGATGTGAAGCAATCATAGATCACTTTCTCGGTAGACGTTTTTTTTTTTTCCCCTGGTGGAAAATGGTGCTTATAATGCTGTAGTTCAGAATTTTATACAGATCCATAGCTATAAAAACTTCCATGCCTGTGACCTTAGAATGTACGTACTTAATTAGGGTAATTAAAAAGTTCGGTAGGATCATCTTCAGGATTAGGAGTAATACCAGTTATGTATGTTTATGTTAATTACATGTTCTTTTTTTTTTTTTTTAATGAAATGATGAGGCATCTACATGCTTGATGGAGGGGAAAAAGGTTTCTGCTTGCATACAGTAACTGCAATCATTGGAGATGTCCAGATCAGCATTTTGTTGTTTGGAGGAGAAAACTTTGCTCCAAAGATGCCTAGTTCATGTCTGATAGCTGTCTCTGCAGTAGGTCTGTACATCTCAGGTATATGTATCTTTAGCCCTGACATTAACAGGCTCTGTTTTGTTTTCTGTCAGTGAACTGGAGCGTCTGAGCAATCTAGTTGGTAAACCGTCTGAGAACCATCCCCTCCACAACAGTGGACTCTTGAGCCTAGATCCTGTTCAGGACAAAACACCTCTTTACAGTCAGCTTCTTCAAGCCTACAAATGGTCAAATAAGGTAAGAAGTATACCAATATTAAATAAGTGTCGTCTTATAGACCTCCGTAATTTAATTGGTGTTCCTAGAGAACATTTGATCTGTGCTACAGTAGACCTCTGAGTATTCAAGAAAATTACTGAATTTGTTATGAAGTTGGAGAATATAATGTACATCTCAATGTATTTCAAAGGATAAAAATGGTATTTTGAGTGGAGAGACTACAGCAATATGGAGGTACTCTCTTGTTTCTTCTAAAGGAGTGCTAACTTCCAAGTGGAATAATATTTTGTCTTAGCTCCCTGTCTTTTGTAAATGTCAAGCAAAAGTTTGTTTTGCCCTTGCATCTAACAGTAAATGTTGTAGCAGAAGTCAATGTGAAAACAGAAAATTAAGAGCTCGTGTCACCTCTAAATCTATTTCTAGAAAAGAGATTTTGAGGGAAGTTACCAAAAATCTTGATGGCTTTCCATACTGTTTGCTGCTGTTAAGTAGAGATTTATTTATTGAGAAATATTTCATGCTTGCATATGTTGCTTGCTGTTGCATGTAAACAAATTGTTGGCACTGAAGAAAAATGCATTTTGTTACTTTCAGAAAAGATAGAAGCACCTAACATTTAGCTATCAGCTGTTAATGAGATAGTATTGGCAAAGTTGTTCTATTTTTTTTTAATTAACTTAGTGCTATGCATCTTTCAAGAGCTGTTTTTCTAATAATGTGTGCCGATTTCAGAAAACTTTAGTATACTGTGTTTCTCCTGAATATTTATATGCACACACACGATTTTATACTTCTGTTATGTTTTATGGCTAAAGTGAAACATACTGTTCCAGTTGCACTTAAATAATTCTACCTTATGTTTCTTCTGAACTTGTGTCCTGTCTAGGGTTTGTAGCACCCAGCAGATGTTTTATTTGCCAGGGAATGGGTAGCTTGCCTGTGTTTCTAATAGCAGATGGGGTGTTACCGATGTGAGGGTATTAGCTGCTGCTTTTGCCATTCACAGCAAAGATTGTAATGGAACTTACATACAGCTGCTTACTTCAGCATTGCTAAATATATTTTCTGAATAAATGTTATTTCCTTGTAGCTTTTGGCCACCTTCTGTTCTTGTGTGCGTTGAGTATTTTCTGTTGCTTGGAAGGGAGGATTTAGATGTGGTGATGTGTCAATACACTTTATGCCTGTCCGCATTTAATTTTTAATTTGTGACCCCTTTGTGGCTGCCTAGCTTGTATTTTTGATGAGCTGAGATAAGGGCATTTTCCTCTCTCGTTGATTGTTCATGCATTACTGATGGCCCGAATAGCCATGCAGCTGCCGGGGAGGATGGATGGAGCTGCATTTTGGGGCTGTGGTGCAATTCCACAAGGGCATCCAGGAAATATAAGGAAATGAACAGTAAGACTTTAAATGTTCAGTATAGGTGCTATTTATTTATAAAACACAGGACGGTTGGTAGAACAGTAACTTAGAAGAAAAGGTCAGTAGTAAATGGGCTGTCTTGTGAGAAGTGAATCATTGTTCAGTATATCTTAATGCTGCACATTTTTGTTTAAGGCTTTGCTGTTTTTTAAAATTGAAAACAAAGCAGTTGTGGTGTTGAACTAGTTGTTATTAAGGTCAGTGTTTCATAAGGTAATCTAGTAATATAGTTTTATAGTAGTCTGGTTAAAATTTGAGGGTTTAGTTGATCCATTTACAGTAGTATTTTTGCTTTGGAAGTGGTATTCTCAGATCGTTCTTGAAGAATATAGTGACACCAACCTCCGAAGCACGGTTACCACATGGAGTTCTTTAAAGCAATATACTGCCAAGGTCTACCTAGTTGTTTCCAAGCTGTTTAGTTTTTTTATATAGCATGAAAATATGTAAAACTTCAGTTTCATAAATCTAAATGTGCATCATACTTACCTATGCGATTCTTCTCACAGCAAAATTGTTTGCACAAATACAAGCTTTTAGGGTATCAACTAGGGTAATATTAACCATTGCTCTTGGTGGTTTGTGAGACTTAATTTTAGGATAGTTGGTATTTGCTTAGATCAGCAGCTTTGTCTTGGTGCAGGGTCAAGGCTTCTTGTAGCAAATTGCCCATTTTGTGCACAGCCTAATGTGCACAGACAAGATTTTTGAATGAAGTAGCAAGGCTGCGTGGTGAAGATTCCATACTCACAGTCCTAAATATGAAATTCCCCATTTAAGATGTGAATATAGACATAGAAAATTAGACTTTTCCTACCAGTGTTTAACTTTTTGAATTACCAATGAATCTGTGTAACTATGATTGATTATGTATTTTGAGGAGACCTACTCCTTGCATCTTAGTGATCTAATGCTTTGGCTTAGTGTACCACACTAGCCAAAGGTGTGGGTTACATTAGAGACATATAGAGACATAGAGACATTTACGCTCAAACTTATTTTACTGCTAGTCACCCTGTGTTTCTGAGTATCCTAAGTGTGACTGTACCAGGGATACACAAAAGTAGAGTGGAAAATCTCAGACTTCCCTTACAGAAGCGTGTTATCTTGGCAGCCCTCGTTATTTATTAGCACCTGCTATCCTGATATTTACTTACTGTAGTTCATCCAATAGCTTTGCAGATGGTGGAATTGTCCATGTAATAGAAGCAGCTGTTTGGGAACACAGCAGCTTGTCAAATGTATTAATTGCACACACAGGCAGCTGCAAAGGAACTTACTTTTACAGGTATTTATTAGAGCTTACAAGCTATAGCTGATATAAACACTGGGAGTTTGAGTTGATCAGTTTGCAAGCAAGAGCTAAACAGTTTTGTCTTTGTTTTTTGCTAACTGGCTTTGTTTTATTTGTTGGTAGAAACCATAGAGGTAGATTACTTGGACATGGAGAAGGAGCTGCACTAGATGAATCAGGAGCTAGGTCTACTTGATGATTTTTCTTTCCTCCCCTTCAGTTTTATTTAAGAGAAGTTGAGTTCTTCATTGTAATGAAGTATTATTTCCCACAAGGATCTTTATATGCTCTTTAGTGTAATCCTGAAGGTGTAATCTTAGGGAAAGAAGAGGTTCTTTTTCTGCGTGGATAATGCAGCTTAAGTATTGTTGGTAAATTAGGAAACTCATAGAAATCAGCAGATTATTTTTAATACAGACCAATTCTGCCTAGTAGCTATAGTTAATTTCTGTGTCTAGTAATAATGCTTATCTCAGCAATTCCTTTTTTGTCTTGTGCATGTTTTTTTCTGAGCAGCTAATAAATCTAAGATTACAGTAACAGTTGCAAGGGTTACGGTATCGCATGTGTGTGGCTGATAGTAAAAGCAATCAGTGCCTGACCTGCACAGTAATGCTTCGTTACTTCTTAGCACCAGGGACTGATTCATTGCATCGTATTAAAATTCACAGGAAACTGCAACAGGAGAGATCACTTCAGCTGTAAGTTTAGGTGAAAAGAATTGTTGAAAGTGACTCATTAAATTAGACTGAAATACTAGCCGGTTTATACTTTGGATTTGCTTTTTATTGAAAAGAATGGCCTCACATTTATGATAGAATAGGGGAAGAACTCGCTTCTATTGTAGTCCAACACACTTCTTTTAATGATGCCTGTGCACTGGTCTTTGAAATTCCAGCCTGCTTCTCATTTTTTGTAGCAGATGAGAACACACTCTTATTCGTAAGAGCATCATTCACTAAGCATATTTCTGGATATTTATTCCCAGTCTTGTGTGAAGAAGCTTCTTTGTAGGGAAGAAAATATGAATTATGTGGTTAGGTCTATATTGTGATACATATCCCATAGATGATCCATTTATTAAGGCTTGTGACAGCATTTTTGGCTAGTTCAGCTGCAGCAAAGCTGGTGATCAGGATGGATACTGGAATGCTGGAGTCTTGGACTCACACTTGGAGCAGAGTAAACTTTTTGTTTGCCGTTGGCTGCTTTAGTGAGCTTGTTGCCTGTCCGTGTACATCTTCATCCTCTCTGCCCTTGGCACAGCATTTGCATACAGTAGCCCCGTGCAAGCCCGAGGCAGTGCCTGTTAAGGCTGACTCCAGTGGAATAGAAAATATGCAGCAATTATTTGTCCACGGAGCCAGGCAGCTGCTTCTGCACTGCAAGTTGTACCTCTCTTACAGGGATGCTTTCAAGTAGCTCAGGCACAAGGTTTGAGCACTAGCTGCTGATAGAGATATTTTGCAGGCTTTGAAAAATGCTTGCCAAGTGTCTAAGGCAGCAAACTAATGGTTGACATAGAATCACTCTTACTTCCAGACCTAAGAAATACTGATTTTGATAGCAACGCGCTGCAACAGCCGCCCTCGAGCTGCTGAAAACACCTGTAGTCTTAGTGGAGTTTACAGGGCAAGTGAAAGCACTAGTTTTTTACAAACCTTCTTTCCTTTTCTTTTTCCCCACTCCCTCCCAGTAAAAAGTGTGTTTTCATGCACTGAAAGGATTTAGAAAACAGTAGCACAAATGGGAGAGATTCAGAACAATTATCGTCTTGAATAGGTGATTTCATTTTAAATCATTTTTTCCTTGAGTTGAACCTCACTGAAGCGAACAGAGGAGCCAGGTGCTCCTCTGTTTTCAGAGTTACATTCATCTGTTTCTGAACGTGAGTGACAGAGAATGTAGCATTTGGAAATTGCTGGTATTATTTTTATCATAATGATATCCTAGTTAAAAATTATGATAATAGTGCCTTTGATAATGCTGTTACCTCTACTTCATTCAAGAAAAAGCCCACTCTTTTTGACTTTGTGATTATCTAGGTGAGTGTGATTTAGGTCAGAATATTTTATAAACTTTCCTGTTAAAAGAAAGTATTACACCAACTTGCATGGACTATACAATATCAGTGGTAGAGTAAATATTTTAAGTGAGCAAAATTGCATAGGTATTCTCATGAATTTATTTGAAAATAGCAAATAAAACTGAAGGAAAATTACTGTTGATCTGCATTATGAAATATATCAAAGATATTTGGATTTAAATCTGTTGCTTCATAGCTTCCTTTTTTTTGTAA